GACGTTTCCCATCCGTTTCGATTTCTCCGGCGACTTCGACGATTCCTATGACGACTCCCACGACGACGGCCACAACTTTGGCTTCGACGACGACGACGCCGACGACGACTCCAATGACGACTCTGACGTCGACGGCACCGACGGTTCTGACGACTCCGACGATTCCGACGACGACGACGCCGATGTTGACGACGACGACAAAGACGACTCTGACTCTGACTTCAACTCTGACTCCGACTCCGACTCCGACGACGACGACGTTCACTCCGACGACGACGAGGATCACGATTTCGACGATGGCGGCGACGGCGTGGACGACGACAAAGACTTCGACGACGGCTCCGACGACACCGGCGACGACTCTGACTCCAATTCCGACTCCCACGACTCTGGCCCAAACGCGAAACAATAATTTCAAGTTCTGGCACTCGTGGCCCCAAACGTGAGACCGAACCTTCAAGTTCTGGCCCGAACATGATACCAGAACTTGAAGGTCTGGTCTCACGTTTTTGCTAGAACTTGAAGTTCTGGTCTCACGTTTGTGCCAAAACTTGAAGTTCTGGTTTCACGTTTGGAGCTGCGATTGCCAGAACGTCGTCGTCGTCACCGTCGTTGTCGTCGTCGTCGTCGTCGTCGTCGTCCCGTAGTTCCCAGGGCAGTTTTTTGATCCAAGACGCTTCGCGTATCCCCACCAGTGCATTTTGCTCAGTGCACGTGCACCGCACCTTGTGTGCAATTAGCCCGTACCGCCGTCCCGGACACGCTTGTTGCCGCCAGACCGTAGTCGCGCGGCCGCCGACCAAAAAGTATCCACACCAGCCCATCCAGAAATGATGCCCAGGCGGGTTTAGGTGATCAGGGAAGTGCGGGATCAAAGAGGTGTACGGCCGAACCGTGCGAAGGAGGGAGGAGGAGAAGGAGGAAATGGATGGATGAGGGAGTGGGGAGAAAGACAATTGATATGATGATGATGATGATGCTGATGCTGATGCTGATGCTGATGCTGCTGATGATGATGATGACGATGATGATGATGATGATGATGATGATGATGATGATGATGATGATGATGATGATGATGATGATGGTGATGGTGATGGTGATGGTGATGGTGATGCTGATGCTGATGCTGATGATGATGAGGAGGAGGAGGAGGAGGAGCAGGCGGATGAGAAGGAATAGGAAGAGGAAGAGGAAGGAGGAGCAGGAGGAGGAGGGCAAACAGAAGGGCCAGAGGTCTCTTGGATGCCTCTCGGCGCCTCTTGGGATATCTCATGGGCGCTTCTTGGAGGCCTCTTGGGACGTCTTGGGGTTCTCTCGGCGGTCCTGGGGGGCTCTTGGGCGTCTTGGGTGCCTCGGGGGGGGCCTCTTGGGGCCGCTTGGGGTCCTCTTGGGGGCCTCCTGGGGGCCTCCTGGGGGCCTCTTGGGGCCACCTTGGAGCCATCTTGGGGCCATCTTGGGGCCTCTAGGGGCCTCCTGGGCGCCTCTTGGGGCCATCTTGGAGGACATCGATCAAACAAGGGCGGTCCCTTGATTAGCCTCGCCCCTCGGGAGCCCCCCAAGTCGCCTTTTTGAGCGTTCTTGGGGCGCTCTTGGAGCGCTCTTGGGGCCGTCTTGGGGCTCCCTTGGGCCCCTCTAAGGGCTCTCTTGGGCCATCTTGGAGCTATCGTAAGGCCTCGACTGGCCATCGGGAGCGAAAAGGCGAGAAAGCACACAAGCCTCTCGGGGGCATCCCTGGGAGCTCTTTTGGCATCTTAGAGCCATCTTGGAGCAGTCTTTGGGCGTCTTGGGGCATCTTGGGAGCCATCTCGAGGCACCTTGCGCTATCTTGAGCCATCTTGGAGCTCATCTTGGGCTCTCTGACGCCCTCTTGGGGCCATCTTGGGCCATCTTGGACGCCCTGACCGCTCGCGGAACGCCCCGTCCAGGTCCAGGGGAGGGGGTAATTAGGGGGAGGGGTAAACCCCTCCCCGCAAGGGAAGAAGGGAGGTGAAGGAGGAAACGCTCTAGACCACCAACGCCCAGAGTGTTGGTGTGATTACTCGGACGCCTCCGTCTCACCTCATTCCTTCTCTCCTTCCTCCTCCTCATTCAGACTCACCCATACTCAGACTCATTCATCGGCACGCAGACTCACTCGCACTCAGACTCACTCGTACTCAGACTCGCTCACACTCAGACTCACTCACACCCAGACTCGCTCACTCTCAGGCTTCCTAGCACTCAGACTCACTGACACTGAGACTCACTCACACTCAGACTCAGACTCACGAGCGCTCAGAATCGCCCACGCTCAGACCCACTCATGCTCACACGAGGCGCGACCTCTGAGTCATTGCCGCATTCTCAAACTCAGACTCAATTGGCGCTCAGAACACTCACACTCAGACTCACACTCAGCTCCGCGCACATTCAGATTCGCTCACATTCAGACTCAATCGTAGTACTCGGGCTCACTCAGACTCAGAATCACTCGCACTCAGACTCACTCGCACTCAGACTTGCAGATCGTGAAGATGTTTCGAGCGAGGCGCTGGGTCTGGATTCCTCCGCCCCCTCCCCCTCCGCCCCTCTGTCTTCGTCGCCATTGTGTGCGCCTCGTCTTCCTCCTCTTCCTCCAGGCCATCCTCCCTCTCCTTCAGCCATCCCTCGCCTTGCTCTCTCCGGGGGACCACGCTAAGATCGCGCATGTTTCGAGTGTTCGCGCAGGACGAACTTTTGGAAAATGACCCCGCAGCCGGCGCCGCCGCGACTTCCGAACATCTTTCGAACACATTCATGATATCACCACACATTGACTTCTCTGAACGATCATTCACCGAACATGACATCGAACATATTCCGAACATCTCCAGACAAAACAAACCACCCCGAACATCTTTCGACCATCGTCCGGAAAACAACATATCCCCACGACCCCAGTCGACATTGAACTACATTTTTACTCTTCTCTGCCCTACCCTACCCTACTTACCCTGCTATACCCTGCTCTACTCTACTCTCGCGAAACTCCTACTCCATTCTACTCTACTCATGCTGTACCTTTCTCACCGTAGTTTCATTCTATTACTCTCATCTCCTCTCCCCTCTTTCCTTTGTCCTGATCCACTCTACTCTACTGTGCCTTTTCTGCTCTACCCAACCATTTTTTTTGTCATTCCATTCTGCCCTGTTCTTTTCAACTCGAGTCTTCCTTGCTGTTCTACCATCTATCGTACTGTTCTCTACTCTGCCTTTCCCTACTCTTGTCCAATCTATTTTCTGTGTTCTACTTTGTCATATTTCCACTATCAAATCTTACCCACTCTCACCTACTTCACGCTATTCTACTTTCCACGGCTCCTACTGTACTCCTATTCTACTCCTACTCTACCCCCTTCTACTACTCTCCTCTCCCCCTCGATTGTTTTCTGATCTATTGTGCCTTATTGTACTCTACTCTACTATGCTCTGCTTCGCTGGCAGTCGCTGCCTGCTCGCGGCGAAGGTCGCCTGGGGCCCGCCGAGCCTCTCCAATAGGGTCCGAACAGACGGGGTCGGAGGATCGCGCCTTATCGCCGATGCATCGCCGATGCGGGTCGATGTTTCGGTCGCAAATCATGGGTGCCTTA